GATTTTACTGGATGCCCGGTTTCTTTTTATTTTAGAGGAGGAAGCGTAACACGGAAAACGAACACAGTAGCCCTCAAGGGAAATCTTGACTTTGGCGATCAGAGGGCAGTGGGTGTGAGCCGGCCCGGCGTGGCACCTCTCCACCTTGCGCAGGTGCTGGGGCCTCTGCCACCGCTCCCGGGCTGGAAACCTGCTGGACGTGACGTCGTAACACGTGGACAAAACAAACGAAGGCACTACCACCTCATTCCTCGTTAGTATAGTGGTGAGTATCCCCGCCTGTCACGCGGGAGACCGGGGTTCGATTCCCCGACGGGGAGGAGGCGTTCTTTATATTCTTCAGGCGAGGAGAATGGTAACGTGTCCAGCCTTGGTTTTGCTTTTTTTTTTAATTCTTCCCTCAAGGCGTCCTCAACGAGGTTTGTGTTTGGAGTACCTCCAGGCAACACCCAAGAGCTTCCTGATCTGTCTCCTGCCTCCCTGGAAAAGCAGGAAGCCTGAAGCAGGTTGGTACCCTGTCTTGATCTCAGCTGAGCTGTGCAGTGCCGAAACGGACAGGCAGCCTTCTGCTCTCATCAGGAGAGATGTAGACCCCAACCCAGAATCAACTACTTATAGTACTGCAGCACATATTAAAACATTTCCGCCCCCAAAGTCAATGCGGATAGCATCAAAATACAAGTGATTAAGTGCCACCTTTTTCACAGCTTCCTGAAAGCAGAGTGAAGGTTTAAAATCATACCAAATATTCCCTTTATTCTTTGAAAAATATTTCTGAAACATCCCAACATTTTCTAAGGGTAAGCAGTGCTATTTAGGCACAATAATGCTTTCATTCCACTGGGAGAATACTTCACATAGTTTGCCAATTTGCAGTCAAACAAATCAGTTGAGGAAGTTCTCAAGCATACACAGTAGTCCTGAGACGGTACTGCCAGTCCTTCACAAGGCAAAATTAACAGAGGGTGATAACATTATTTGATCCAACTTAAAGACTAATTTCACATATTTGCAAGTTATAACAAGTCTACAGCATTATTAAGGCACCAGGTAAGAATATAAATAGGTGTACTAAACCACCATGCAACAGCAGTCCGAAGGAGCTGGTTTGCAGGTGTTTGTGTTCTTTCATAATGGCTCAGTGTAAGCAATCCATCTTGTCCACGATCGGCGTCAGTGCACCCAGTCTTTGGGATTGCGCAGAACCTCCAGGATTTCTGCTTCTTTTGAGCTCTCTGGAGGGGTGTGCATGTACTCCCACCTGTAGGAGACGGGAAACTCACTCAGACTGTCCAGCTGGCTGCCACCTCTCCTGCATCGGGCAGTGTTTGGACTTGAGTTGCCTTTTCTAAGGATGCAAAACTACATACAAAATTGATACTCTCCTATCAGGTGGCAGACATGATGATAAATAATTAAGTTAAGTAAAAACACTGGAATAGACAGGAGAAATGTTAGCTCAATCTTTTTCCCAACTTCTGGAAAGTCTGGAGGAACAAAAAGGAAAGCAATGCCCTCTACCCCACAATGCATGTCAGTTTATTTGTAAAGATCTTTAGCAGTCTCTTGTGACACAGTAGTATCATGAGGAAGCAAAAAAGGAACCTAGACAATTGTGACAGTGAGAACATGAGACCCATTTTTTTTTTCCAGAAGCTGGACTTAAAGCCCTACAAGTCCTTGTTGAATCTTGGTTTTAAAAACAAAGGGGTTGAGAGATCACTGATATTGAAAAGGTGGGACAGAGTTAAAAAAAGTGTCAGCAGCCACAAAGAGATGGGTACAACATTTTTCATTTTTTTTCCGAAGGAAGGACCCGTTCGTGCTTTGAAGTGAGCTATTTACATTGATGAAAACAAGCAAAAGCAGATCATGTCAGCAATGAAATCAAAAGATAGGACCATGCTACACCACTAGGTCAGGAACACGCCTAGTGTTGGCAGTGGGATGAAGCTATAATGGTGAGAACTGGACTGCCTTCACGGTTAAGGGCTAGCAGGCAAAGGTCAGTTTTGCTACTGGAGGGAGGGCACTAATGAAGCTTACAAAATTCATGATAGGGCCTGTGCTACTCTCCATATCTAAAAGCAACCTAATTGCAAGATTAAGTAAGATAGGTTAAAAAGGCAATTGAGAAGAGTTAATATCAAGCCAAGCAACTGAGCAATAAAATGTGAGGTGAAATCCACTGTTGACTGATCTGTAGTGAGGCACACTGAGAAAAGTTACATACACATTAAGAGACTGAGTTAACTTTTTATTGCCTAGAAAAGATCTTGGCATCATAACAATTCTATAAAAAAGCAGCACTCAAAACCAGCCAACAGCATATTAGGATTATGAGTGTAATAATGAACTAAAACATCATTGTGCCACTGTATGAGTCAGCAGCACACCTGTGTCTTGGATACACATACGTAGCTTACGCTGTCTGTTCCTTATACTCATTTCAGAAAGTGCACAGAAAACTTGAGCCTAGAGCAAACAGTAAATGTGATCAAAGGTATGGAACAGCTACTGTACAAAGACTAAAAAGAGGAGGACTTGTCAGCCTGGTAAAACAGACAATGAAAAAGAGACATGCCTGTAAAATAAGAACTGTTATGGAGAAAATTAACTGGAAGAAAATCTGGTTACATATTGAAAAGTTGAATGAAGTTATCAGGTGTAAAGAGGCACTTTTTCATACAGCACATGGTTAAACTGTGGAGCTCCTTGCCATAGGCTTGTCAGGACTGCCAGAAGCTCACCTAGTTTCAAAGAATTACTAAACAAAACCCCATGGAGCAGGGAGGGGAAATCTATCAAGAGGTACTAAGCACAAAAAAATAATACTTTTCTGTGAGAAAAGATCTAGGCCACACATAATTGGCAAGCGGGTGAGCGTAGCAGACCAGAGAAGCATCTACATGTATTTGGCCAGTTCTTATATCAGAAATGAACACTGTTAAGGGAGTGGACACCAAGACAGACCTTTGATTTAATCCTATGAAGTATTTTAGGAGGAGCAGTGCCTACCTGCAGCTCCGCACAACTATGCCCTTACCTTGCAGTCAATGGCAGAGACATAAGAATACTTTCGATTCTTGATCCTGGTGTCAGGAGGCCAAACTTGGTACCTCTGTCGTAAACCAAGTTGAATTCTACGTACCTATGGGAAGCGAAGAGATGCAACAAAAACAAGTTTATTGTCCGAAGTTGGTTGTGCCACCTTCACCTAGCAGACATCAAACACCACCAGCCTGTCTTTCCACTGTGTTGCGTGTCAGAACAAACCCTGTTCTGGAGCCAACTCTCCTCTAGCATCCTCTGCACAGTAATGCAGGTGCAAGCTTGTCACTCTACAAGCACAGAAGTAATGACCTTCATTAATAGACCAGAGCAGACAAACTATTTGGAGGAGAGCATTCTGCACGGTGCTGTACAAGCTTACTTTGCCCAGGCCTCAACGCTGCTGGCAAGCTCGACAACAAGCTTGGCTTGGTTATGCTACTACTCTTTTGAGTGGTGGTGGTGTCAGGCATTAAAAGGAGCTAGACAGCTTCAGAGTGCTGGATGGGACTTAGAAGTGCTGGAATAGATGGTTTTCTGCTCCCCAGCATAGGAACAGAGCAGTGACAATTCAGCAGCGCTTATCTTAATAACTAGTACTAAGGTATTAGTACTGGACAGAGGTACAGGGTAGGGAGGAGCTCTTATCTGTTTGCAGAAATGGACAGCTTTACCTAGTGCAATACCCTGCAATCAGATCCAGGGAAATAAAAAGGCCTCATGAATTGGTCCTGGCTGCAGCTTAAAGAAGCTATTCCCCTTTATAACCTTAGCAGGTTTCCTAAATCACACCCACAGGCTGGATCCTGAAAGCCCAATGCTCCCAGAACAGTCCCAGCAAATGAAGCATATTTGAGTAAGTGCTGCAGGCCAGCAATTTAAACTTGAGTGCTTACACCCTCTCTATGATGCTCTCACAGATATCTCTGCAGAAGAGGCAGAAACTAAACACTCCCTAGTTCTGCACAAAGCACGTGTACTCATTTCTCCACATGCTTACACAATCACAGGACACAGGGAAAGGATTACAACTGCATCTACCCCTGTACTTAAGCTTCTGCAGCATTAATAGCTGTTTGCCTTAATCAGCATCCTCCGAAGTCTTTTAAGTTACAGTGACTTTGGACCATGCCAGAAAAACAAAAACCCTCTGTATCTTTATTCCTTTACAAAGAGGTCATATTTCGATGCCAACAGCAGACGGGATAAATACATATGCGTGAGAAGCCGAAAGTACTCTTGGGTACAGTTCTTTCATGATTTTTTGGGGGTTAGCTTCATTACTGAATAGGAAGCATGACACCCTCACCCTTATGCTCCTCAGTTAAGAGGGCAGTTCTATATCCCTTATCACTGGGCTGCAGGAGAGGCAGGATTCAGGACATCAAGCACACACATTACCCTTTGCAAAGCAGCAGTTTCTCTTGGGTTTTGAACAAGTTGGAGAGAAACTATGGCATTTTGTGCCGGTTGCTTGTGCTGCGACATGGGAGAGTGGGAGCTACAGAGGAAGGCTGTGCTAGTACCTTCTTTATACCCTCCTCGGCAATCTAGCACTGGATTTTAAAATTAAGTCTGTGCATAAAAATGCTGAAATTCTCTGATGAGCTTTAGACAACTCACGAAAAACTTAGCCCACACCACAAGTTATAAATCTGCAATCATCAAGAACTAGTTCTTTTTTTTTCTCACCCATGTAGTCCACCACCCATGTATTCTTTTGCTCCTTCAGTACTCACCGTCCTCTCCGGAGCTGCTGCCATAGCTTTTCCTCTGGCGTGAAGGAGTCATGGCAATGCCTTTTCACAATGGGAACGTAACAGGGCACAACAGCTTTGGCACAGCTCTTCACAAACTGGAATACTTCCTCCTTGGAAGGAGAATCCACATCGTCAAAGAATATGCCTCCAATCCCTCTTCGCTCGCCACGGTGCTTGATATAGAAGTAGTCATCACACCTATAAGAAGCCACAGACGATTATTAATATGATCCATGATATTCAAAGAAATGAACAGAACTCCAAACAGCTACATGGCACCGTACAGCACTAGTGAAACACTGACAAAAATGAGTTTCTGCTTCATTGACTGCTGAGAGCCAGGATGGTACAGCACCATCTGGAAAGCACTTCCTGCATTTACTTAAAGCTCTGATTAAACAGTTTCTGCAGAGCTACAGCTCACTGCGCAGTCACTGGACATAACGCTCAAAACACCACGGCAGATGCTTCCCTGTCAAGCGATCCAATCCATATCCTCTACCTACACAGAGGAGGGACACCTGATTTCAAAATGGGCTGCCCCTGAGAGCTCTTTCTAGATTTCATGCCTAGAATTATATGTAGATCCCAGATTATTTGTACAGCTTTCAGATGAACTCAAAATAAACTTGGAAAAGAATCTCTTTATTCTTTTTGCCATTCCAGTAAAAAAAAAAAAATTTCTGCATCAAAATTAAAAGACTCTAAAAACCCAAGCTCAGAGAAGAAAACCACTGTCACTTAAGGAAAAATCAAAAGTGAGGCAGCCTTCCTTGAATAAAAGCTTTTTAATAGTTAAACTTGGAAGATGGATTCACTCTAGTAGTAGTGACCTTTAAGGGCTCACGTTCAAGTTTATGAAGGAGCAGGGCAGCTTATCCTACAACAGTGAGGCAATTAATCTGTATTGTATTTATGGGGAATATGTAGGTGTGCAATTACTATATGCTAGCTGATTCATTGCATCCAGACTGTATCTTGCGTATAGTTGCTTGCTTGGGCAGCCATGCCTTCCAAGTCTTCATGTGGGGGAGAAAGGAGTAGGAAACAAAAATTATCAACAGCAAGGAAATGTTGCCTTCTGTTAGGACTCATTTTCCACACCTGTGTCCATCCACGGTCGCTGTTTTCAAGCAATATAAATGGCATGGCCATAGGAGGAGAGACATGGAGATGTAACAGACAGCCTAAGTTATTTTTTTTATTCACTGGGATGATAATTTTTTTTTATTTTATGGCAGCAGAAAGAGTTATGAAAAAAGGCTGAGTCAGAAATGCTAAAGAGAACAAGCCTGACAAAAGTCTTAAAGCAAGATCAGGAAGAGAGGGTGGTAAATGCAACATGAGCTTTTATGTTTGATAAAGGTGGGAAAAGGGGCAACGCTAATTAGTAGAAGCTCAGAGGAGATTCACACTGCCCCAGCAGTGAGAACCACGTGCCTACGCAGTGCTGCCTTACAGGAGACACCTGCACTGGGATGGAGAAAAACTGCCTTTGTCCATGGGATACAATTAGTCCTGCCCTGAGACTAAGAACGGGCATCCTTCTCTCTGACCCCCTGCTAGCCTACCTACACTGCAAACAACCCGACTGTTACAGCACACTCTCTGAACTACCATGCAAAAATTCCTCAGAGAACAAGACAGCGGTCTTAAGGTTATAAGACGTGCTTCTCTACTAAGTAGTTGCCACCCAAGCTACAACACCCACTTTATCTCCTGTCCTCAGAGAAGACCTGGCAGATTACAAAAGCGTAACCCCTCCTTCTTGGACACCACAGCTTGTGGCAGATAGGATTATCAGAGACAGAGCAGCAAGGCCCCACCGAACAGTGCAGGATCTCATCACTTGTATCTCTCAGCTCAAGAAGAACATTTAAAGTTTGCATCTTTAGCGAATATGCTGCTGAACTCTCAGTGAATGTGTTACTGGAAAAAAAGTAACCCTCCATCAAAATTACAAAATGTCAACACTAAGGACAAGCTCCTTTTCCTACCTGGCAAAAATAAATAAATAAATAAATAGAAAATTTATGAAGGTCAGACTGAAGGCAGAAAAACTCCAGTGGGATTTCTCAAAACTGCAGTGCTGGCCCTAACTGCAGAGCTCACACTAAAGTAATGCACATTTGCCACGAGTTCACTGTAAGAATCAGTGCAAATTCATGGGGCAACAGCCTTGTCCTAGTTTAGCATCAGAGGATAAAAGGAATTTTTAAGTTGCCCAGTGAAGTCTGTGGCTTACAAAATCTGGTAGAGCCACTTGGTTTTTATTCAGGCTATAGACTCATGATCCTAGTTGTCACCCCTGTGAGTTGAACAGCTCAGGCCTCTGTGAATAAGAGATGGTTTAGACTACATTTTGTCTCAGTACACATCTGCTGATTTTCATTAGGGTTTGCTGATACTTTTCAAAAGGCAGCAGAACCTACTGTTTCTAGAGTACACTTCACTGGCAATATCCAGCACCGCCTTCTCCCACAGAAGGAACCCAAGCACACCTCTCCACAAAAGGAACCCAAGCACACCTCTCCTCACATACCATTTCTTGTACTTGGGATACAGCTTCAGATCATGCTTGTCACAGGCTTCTTTCAAAGTCTTGTGAAAATGAACGGCATCCTCTTCATTCAAGTACGTTGGGGTGAGATCAGTCCCACCACCAAACCACCACTGTTTAGTTCCTACAGGAGAGAGGCAAGCAGTAACATTTTTCTTTTAAACTTCCAAGCAGCAACATGTTGCTGGTGGTTCACCAAGAACTAATGACTACTTTTACTATACAAAACAAAATCATTATTCAGTGGTGTCCCTAGATCTCAACCACAAAGCGTGTAAGTTCGAGGTACTGCGGTGATGAGTGACTTCAAGAAAACATGAGACAGCTTTCAAAGCAATGAAGATCATTTGGTTCAGTATTTTTGACCGCTGACCCTGATGACAGGATATCAATTTCACAAGATGGGCCTGCAACTCCTATTCAAGAAGCCAGAGACATTTTACTGCATGCCAAAGAAGAGCAACATCATTATCAAATCCAGGGAAGTAATTGATTAGAAATAGTCCATAATGCTCTGGCAAAATAACAAGAGAAGACTCTCCTTGAGCTTCTGACCATATATATGCTGTCACGAGGTACAGACAGGTGCTCAGTGTTAGACCTGAGACCTTAGTGAGACCCATCCTGGAGTCACGCTTCTGACAGCGGCGAACTGCAGAAACTCCGAGTTAAAAAGGCACCGTGCACACAAAGAGCCACGTTTCTCACAGCAGTTCCCCCACCTTCTGAGGCAAAGGTACACGCTAACCAGAATCCTTTTCAGTTCTTCACATTCTGTCCTTCTACCAAATTCTAGAATTGCTTCTTTGAATGTTTTACATATATTTATAACCTCCCATGTTTTAACTGAGATCTAAAACCCTTGTTGTACATTGCAATAAGTAAACTGCAAACTCCTTTACTAGATGTGCACATCACGCTTGTTTTACAAGCGCACAAAGGTGCAAAGATCAAGAGCCAGTGCTACATAACAGATTCTTGGCGCAGCTGGGAAGAAACCTGGACCAGTTCTTAACCCCCTGCCCTAGGAGGGGTTCATGCTTCCTTCACACAGAGTCATATGTTTCATGTGTGCTTCACTGGATTATAGTTCTTACCATCTGCTTCCTCAATTTCAAAGTATCTGTAGTTGAAGTGCATGGTTGGAACATGAGGGTTCTTTGGATGGATAACAGAGCTCACACCCATGGCGCAAAAAGGCAGTTTTCCTAGATAAAAAGATGCATAGAAAAAAACCCTTCAGTTTCGCAAATAACTTCATTTATAACCATTTAAGGAACATCCCTATTTATCTTCAGGTTCAAAGCTCCTCTTCCGCTATAAGGCAATTTCTCACGCTGAGTGGACATAACTATGAACCGACGTGCAATTTACTTCTTATGCACACATTTCTGTGCACCTAACTGAATGCTTTCTTCTTGTACTTCTAAAATGCAACAATACTTTGGATCACCCATTAGATGAGGATTGTAGGCATTGCTAAATGCGGATTGCTAAATGCGGATTGCTACTTACACGGTGTACCCCTAGTTCTCACAACTACCCTTTGCCCACAGCACAAGAAAGATATGGACATGCTGGAGCATGTCCAGAGAAAGGCCACGAGGATGATCAGAGGGCTGGAGCACCTCTCCTGTGAAGACAGACTGAGAGAGTTGGGGCTGTTCAGTCTGCAGAAGAGAAGGCTCCGAGGAGACCTTATTGTGGCCTTCCAGTATCTCAAGGGGGCCCACAGGAAAGCTGGTGAGGGGCTTGTTAGGATGTCAAATAGTGATAGGACTAGGGGGAATGGATTGAAGCTGGAGATGATCGGTTCAGATTGGATGTTAGGAAGAAGTTCTTCACCGTGAGGGTGGTGAGACACTGGCACAGGTTGCCCAGAGAGGGGGTGGAAGCCCCATCCCTGGAAGTTTTTAAGGCCAAGCTGGATGGGGCTCTGAGCAGCCTGATCTAGTGGGGGATGTCCCTACCCATGGTGGGGGGGTTGGAACCAGATGATCTTTAAGGTCCCTTCCAACCCTGACAATTCTATGATTCTGTGAATGGGGGGGTTAATCATCTTTAGCCTTCATGTTAGCCTTTCGGTTGGTTCCCTCCACCTCTCTGGTACATAACTCCTGCCCTCTTTCTCTGCTGAGCTGCTGCATCGTCACCAAGCACCAATGCGCACCACAGCACATCGCTTAAAGCCGCAAGGTGGAGAAATGCTCTGGCAGCTCGCTTTTTAGGGATGTGAAAGTCACCTGTCAGGCTTATGGCTTAGAAACCACCATGACACAAATGCAACCTTCCCTCGAGCGTCGATCGGTCCTGCTCAAAAGCCAGACCCTGCTTTCCGGAGTAACCCCCACGGGGACACTCGGGTGAGCGCGTCCCGGCTCCCGGC